TGTAGAGACAACAGTACGTAAAGAACGATAGTGACGAAGAAACGTAAGTAGTGTTTGGTTTGGTTGTTGTTTCTTTCTTCTCTTCGTTCGTTATCTCTCTCTCTCTCTCTCTCTCTCTCTCTCTCAGTGTGCAGGGGTAGGTTAACAGTATTCTATCTTTGGATGCAGGCTTCTGCTTTATTGGCACTACCCGTTTTTGCTCTATATAGCTTGTTTTCATCAATTTTTGGGTAAGCTAACAAACGTGAATTTTTTTTTTCTTCTCTCTTTGTTTTAGTGAATGCACATTAAGTTTCTTGAGATAATCATCTTGGGTTCCATTTGTTTGCATATTTGCAGTAAGAAGGTGAGGAAACCCACTAGAAGTGGAAATCATGCCCATCGAAGGCTGAAACGCAGGCATGCTGACAAGTAGAGAATTTCTGGGGTTTGTGGTTTTAGTGCATTCAGATCATTTACTTGGTTTGGTTGCTATACTGCATGTCATAATTAATAGGGTAAATGTGATTCTATACTTATCTAGGAGATAATTATGAAATTTTCCAATTGTGCTAATCAATTATCAATGTTTACGATTGTAGCAAGCTTTAGCTAAATAAGTTTAGGCAAAATGTTTCTCAATTATCTCATAGTTGGTATGGTGATTTGGTGTAGAGGATTGTCACATCTTGAAAATATCAATCGGGAGGAAATCTTATGTGGACCTTTTGTTCTCTGAACTAACAAAATCATAATGCGCCTGGGACAGCCTGCCTTATTTTTATTTCACCAAAACATGTACATCAACCAAGTATCACCCTTTGGTGGACATTGATTAGGTATAGTCGGTTTTAGGATTTATTTGTTTCCTTAGTATTCTTTCGTCATGGGGGATTTATTTGTTTCCTTTGTATTCTTTCGTCAAGGGAGAAATGGAACGCCTTGCATGAGTGTTTTTGACCTTTATTAGTTGGGTCGATGACCGAACCTTGTCTTTACTATGAGTTTGCAAAAAGTAGTTCTGGAAGAGATTATCTCAAAATGGGAACAAGCAGTCCAAGACTGAACCTTGTCTTTACTATGAATTTGCGAAAAAACGTTCTGGAAGAGATTTATCTCAAAATGGGAATAAGTAGTACAATTCAAAACTTTGACCAAAGCTTGGGTTCAAACTTTTGATTTTTTAGAAGATGTATTTATGTCTTTTTTTTTTAAACATGAATATGATGTATTATAAGATGTATTTATATCGAGAACAAAAAATATTATTTTCAAAAACAATCTAGCAGTTCCAGTCTCCCCAGGTTTAGTTCTCTTTCGAATTTAAATGTTGGATATTACCTACCCACTACAACCCACTCATAGTTTATACAAGGTGTCAACTTTATATTGTAGAAATAAGGTGCACCTCTTAAAACAGATTGTTCTTGCACTGCAAAACCTTCGAAGTGAGATATGAAAAAAATTGATTTCAAGTCTTGAAAATAGTGTATTTTCTCAAAAAAAAAAAAAAAGTCCTAAATAGTGCATCTTGAAGCACATTATCTGGACCATCACAAAAATTTTCCAGCACCAAAATTACTACCTTTAACTTTGTTCTGTGACTTTTGCTCAAGCTGGATTTTACTGAAATTTGATGGTTACTTTGTGAATACTTCTGTCATGTGTTAATTTCTGGCCTGTGTAACGTTGACATATGTTTCTGGTTTTTTGCGTGTCTTAGACACACCAGGGGCATGACACCTTTGTCTCACATAGAAACTTTTCAACCCTTTTTGTCCCCCCTAAAATCTCAACATAAAGGTACTAAAGCCCCGTAAATTCCCCCTTTCTGGTGTAAGGACTTCTCATGTTCGAAATACCAATTTTGAGATTTGCATTTCTTACTCCATCTCAAATCCGTGTGTATGTAACATTGGTTACTATGACTTAGGTTTTATTGCTACTTCACACTAAACCAAACATACATGTGTTTTCAAATCAAAGACTTTACTTATTTGTTATGTTTTTTAAAAAATAGTTACTCTCTTTGGAGGGTTTAAACTAGATTATAGCAAGTCAAATTGTTAAAAGTATAAAGAAAATAAGGACTGTTCCATGCAGGTCTTGTGCCGTTGTGTTTAGGAGTTGTGACCATTACAGAAAAGGAAGTGAAGAGTCAGATGTGGGTTTGAAGCTTTATGTGCATTGCAGGAGGCCCATGTATACAGTCATTTAATTTATGATTGTAGATTTTAGATGGCTTTTTCCTGGTCTTTTGTGATTATTCAGGTCAAGCTTTTTCCGACTGTTTTCCTCTACTTTCCCTTAATTGAATTCGTCTTAATGATAGTTTTTCTTGCCTTATGGAGTTCTTCTCTGTTCAAGAATGAACTCTTGTGCTTTGTAATACATTCTGATGTAGTGTTGTACTTTGGTCTCTGTGAGCTATTCAGTCCTTGTTTTCATGTCTTCTTTACCTGAAACATTATGCACATTTTGTTATTATAGATTTTGACAGTTTAATTTCAGAGCTGCCCTGTTTAAAAGCCTCTCGTCTTTGTTTCTTTCAAGTTTCTAACTGAATATGAGAAATGTTTGGGGAAGTCTCTTACTGATTGGTTAATGGTGAGAAATGTAATGGGCTGAGGAATTCATTTGGGTAAGAGACATAGGGGATTTTTTTCCATTTGAACTTTGGGGATCTATCGTATATTAGTATTTAAAAAAAAAAGAAAAGAAAATGTAATATAAGTTCTACAAGACTTAGATCTTGCCCTGATGCATTTCTTGTTGTATATTGGGAATTTAGTTTTTCTAACGTCCGTTAATATTTTTAGGGTCCTAAAAATATGCGTAGCTTGATATATACCAGAGGGAGCAAATTGGACCAGCATATCTTTTTGTATTTATGATTCTCGGTCAACTTGGAAGCTTCTGTATAGTATGCATTTCATTTATATTTAGAAGAAAAGTTTACCTATCAACCACATCGTACTTTTGAATATTAGAAATATTCTATTTATAAATCATGTTATTTATACATTGGATAAGGGAATCGATGATCTTGCAACTTGTGAAAAATGCAAACCAATAATTGGAAGGAAATAAAATTATCACAGTATTTCTGAATTTTGTGGGGATATTTAGGTCAATTTATGAATTTTTATTTTTTATTTGATATAAATTTTAGTTCAATCTAATAGACAATAAAATTACAATATCAAAAGTGGGCCATGATTTGAATAATGGGGATTCTAATTTAAGAGACTAATATTATGTGGAGTGTAGGGGACTTGATGACAATTATCTTGTTGGCTTTATAGGATCTTATTTTTAGTTATCTAATAATAGTGAGGTTTATATGAGGTGCCCATCTTGCAAGGTGCGTTATGAGAGCATTTTAAAATTTTATCAGTAGACGGAGGTGTGGGGACTTTCGACCCCACAATCGCTTGGAAATCTATATGTAACTCCAATTATGAAAATTTATTTTTGTAAAAAATAGGGCAAATCAGCATATTCATGAGCAATAGGAAATTTTGAAAACCAAATAATTTATAACACGATGAGCAATGTTTAGGACCCAAAATTCTTTTTTGTCTCTATGAGGTTAAAATAATCAATCGGAAGGGTTTTTTTTTTGTTTTAACACGATTCGCAATTTTTAAGATCCGAAATTCTTTTATGCAACTATGCCGTCAAAATGATCAAAAATGTTTTTTTGGTAGCTCCGGAATATTTTTTTGTGAGATTTTGAAAGTGTATTTTTTTTTTTTATAATATAAGTTTGCGACTTGTACAAACTCTTTCCTTATGAAGTGAACATTATAGAAGAAATGTTTATAGGAATGTGTATATAAGTTGGCAATGACAAACTTAATTGAAATGAGGTTGCATTAATGTAAATTTGTATTGAACATGCCAGATTGATATTGTCATAAAAGTCGCAGTTTATTAAAAATTGTGTCTAATTTATATATCTGACTAGAATGCTCCATAAAATGCCACAGCCTTGCTTTTCAAGTATCGTTGTTACCTTATATATAAATTGAACTCAGATGGAATTAGCTAAGTAGAAAGAGCAGGATAGCACGAAAATAAATATGCACAAAATTTAGGAAAAGTTAGAATATGCAATAAGAATCGCTTTTTTTCTTTTGTTCATAGTTTTTGTTTATTTTTGTGTAGTTCAGTGGGGAGGGGTAATAAGAATGAATTCAAGGCATTACGTCGTGATTTTTTTTTTTTCATGGTTAAGTTGAGGTGGAACCACAATCCCTGAGCTAATAAAAAAAAAAAGGGTTGAATGAGAAAATTATGAGCTTTTATGTTGAAGTTTCCTGGTACCTAATATGTGAAAATTTGACTCCCAGGTTTTACATCACAGCGGCAGTGGCGGTGCTGACGACATTGAAAATTGTTAAAGCATTTTCTTTGGCAGTTCAGTTCAGTAGTAGGATTTGGACTTGAGTTCTAAGTATCAATACTTTAACCGGTTTGGGTTTTGAGTCTCATTTTTACTGCTTCTGCAAAACTTGTCGAATTCAGTAGCTTATCTTTGCATGAGAAAAGACAGAGAATGTGATTATTGTAAGATTGGCTAATTTCAAAGGCCTATCCGTCATGGTTGGGGTTTTCTCGGGTATCAAGTTCCGGTACCCATCCATCCTCCGATCAGATAGATAGGCAGGCACGGCAATCATTTGCTTCTATTTCAAACCATCCCAGCCGCTCGAAAGCTTCTCGGATCCTCCCGCCGAATGACCCTAGTTTTCCATGTCTTTGGTTCTTCCATATTCGTGAGTCAAATGTGCACCATCTAGACACGTATAAAGATAATAGTTTTCTTGGCATTTATGTAAAGTTGCCCTTCTGTTCTGTGCACTATCTAGACATGTATAAAGATAATAGTTTTCTTGGCATTTATATAGGGTTGCCCTTCTGTTTTAGCATTCGGAAATGAATTAACTACTTTGTAAAACAATAATGGACATGAAAATTTGCATGAAAAATTGTAGGGAAAGATCATAAGTGGAAGAGAGAGAGAGGTCGCACCAGTTGCACCATTACACCACTATCTGATCGCTAGTTAGTTTTTGTTGTGTAGGATCACATGCCTAAACATGTATATACAAGACATTTTGTTACGTCTCTGGTTTAAGGAAGCTACAATTGCGAAATCTCACTTCTAGATGTGAAATCTTACAACTGAGGTGTGAAACAAAGTTTAGAAAATTTTTCACAAGATTTTGTATGTGGTCAATAATACATCTTTAATTGCCCAATTTCACATCTAAAGGCTGAAAATGATTGTGACCTCTTTATATTAAAAATAAATAGTTTTATTATATATTTTTTCAAACATATTTTTCTTTCCTCTCTTTTCTTCTGGAACTCTGTTGATGGTGGGCCCAAAGCGCCTCAGGAAGTTCTAGAAGCTTCTAGAAACTGAGTCCTAACCACCCATGAAAGTTGCCCAATAAGGCTCTAGCTCCACGCATGGGGTGCGTGGGTTCACCTGGTGAAATCGGCTATTGCTTGTGGATTCCGGTCCCGTGCCGATGAGAATCTCCCCTCCCGCTAAAAGAGAGGACACAGTGTCCATTGCCATCGGCTGTTGGAGGCTCCACACGACCGGCATAGGTGGTAGCCCAGCCTGTTGGCTAGTGTTGTTGGGATTTAGGCTTGGTTGGTATAAGCCTCCTTGGAATGCTAATTGCGGTGGAGCCTGTAACATGAGCCTAGTTAACTCTGTCATCTCATCCTTATGGCTCATGTTGAATCCCCTTCTTGTGCTGGTGTGTCCGTTTGCATGGAATGTCCTGCCCATGCCGGCATGGAAAGGGTCAGGATTCAGTTGGGTGGTGGGCCCCATATCGAGGTCGTAGGGATTCAGGTGTTGGCGGCTCATCGTATACTTCTTCCCACTGGTATTCTTCTGAAAGATCCGACAAACCACCCATTCATCCTGTTAAATCGAAATGTTAATTCTCTTCTAGTAGAACAAAAAAGGGAGTTTAAGATTCTCGTTGAAAGAGAAAAAAATTATTTTACGGGAAATATCATTAAAGGGGTGAAAACTCTTACCAAATCATTATAGGGCCCAAAATATATCAATTAATTAGAAGTTTTTTTTTTTTTTGTTTTCAATTAGCCATCTCTTCAAAAAATATATTTAAAAATGCCCTACTAAAAGAACACAATCAAGTGTTAGGAGTACCTCCTACATGTTAAGGGTGGGTAAGTAATTTGCCCTATTAAGAGACCGCAATCGAGTGTTAGGAGTACGCCCCTACATGTTAAGGGCGGGTAAGTTATTGCTTGTCCCTGGACATAAGCAATTTGAGCATTTTTTAAATTATTTTATGAGGCACTAAAGAATATTAAGAAGTAAACCTTTTATTTTTGATATCTTGCAAGAGGTTTTAATCCAATTTTCCTAAAGTTAAGATAGGATCAAACCGGTGGTTGGACCAATCAAATCACTTATTGGTGCCTTAGCTGGGTTTGGTCTAAGATAAGAACTGAGTTTGTCAGAAAGTTGGTCAAAACCAATATTTGATTGATTTTGACGAGTTGAATAAGTCAATTTTAACCATTTTGATATGGAAAATGAAGTAGGAAATTTTATTTTAAAACATAAATTTGATATGGTAAATGAAGCTGGAAATTTTATGTTAAAATATATTATGTTTATCTATGTTTGTGGCAAATTCGATCTGAATACAATACAAGTCATCTTACCAAAGGAAAAGGTAACAAGGCGGTTTTCAGGCTTACCATGCCGGTTTTAAAGGTGATTTCAGGAATGAGCCGGTATTCGTGCATGACCCAGCTAGTTTTCTCCCCCTTCGGTGCTCTTCCTTTATAAAATACAAGCGTTTTTTTCGTGCCAGCTAATTCAGAGGTGGTGGCCCTGAAAACCTCTTTGTCTTTTCCGGTGGTTTTCCAATAACCAGAATCAGTTGCCCGGTTTGTCCGAAGACCGGTTGGGTATTTCCGGTCGCGCAGACTGAAGAAGTACCACTCTTTCTCTCCCATCTTCGCCTTTCCTGGTGAGAAGTGAGCAATGGCTCTAATCAAAAGGACTTTGGTCTCTCTCATCCGATGTGTTCGAAATGCCATTGCAGGATAACCACTCTTGAACGTATCTTTTTATCTCTGGTAAACACCTCTCTCTCTCAAGAGGAGTGAAAAAAAAGCCACAACTCGGGACTAGACTAGGCTCCTGTTCGAGCTTAGTAACTTAGATTGAGTTCAAGTTATTCGGCTCGAGTCGGGCTGGGTCTTAACCAAGTAAAAAAGAATTAAAAAAATTTAAAAGTTATAAAAAATATCGAAAAAAGTAGAAAAATATGTTTAAAGTAAAATTAAGCAAAACATTTAGATGAGGTTAAAAAAGTACTGAAAAATGGATTTTGGAAAAATATGGGAGGGGTTATTAAAAAAAAAAAAGTTTATATAAGTGCAAGGCTCTAGACAATCAAATTAGGATGCACCTAAAAAATTTAAATAGACAAGGTTGTTTGAAGCCCAAATATCCCCCAATTGATAATCTCAATCTCAAAATGCACGAACATGAGAAAAAAAAAAATTGGATTTCAAGTTTTCGAAATAGTGCATCTTATAATGCATTTTTGGAAGGTCAATTTTCAAGATTTTCAAATTTTGATAGATATGCTCGATCTACATTATTTTTGCAGCTTTAAATTTTATAATTCGTAATGAAAATATATTTTAAAGCTACCACAAAGATTTCCAATATTGAAACCATATTTCTTGGCACTATTTGAAGGTGCACTTTGCTTTGATTGTTTAGAGCCTTGGCTCTATACAAACAGCACATTTTTTAAAATAATCCAAAAAGAAGGGAAATAAAATAAGTATCAGTGGCCGAAACACTTTCCACTCTTTCTAAAGTGATAGAAAACATAAAAAATATATTGTAAATGAAATCCTTTTTTTAGATTTTTATTTTATTTTTTTTGAATTTTTTTAGAGTGATTTATGTAAAGACCCTAAAATTTTATGTAAAATACAAAATCGTCCGCTGATTGGCGGAAATTATAAGGAGATCGATCAACTTATTTTTTTTATGTTTTTTTAAAATTACCTCTCGATCAACCCGAATTTTAATTTTAATTTTTTTTTTGGTTAATAAGGCAGTGCCCACTGCCCTAATAACGAAAAATTTTACAAAAATAAAAATATTAAAATTGAGATTACTTGTAGGCCACTTTTGAAGACAAAAAAAAAAGAAAAAAAAAATTGACCTACTTTTTGTTTGTAATTTACTCCTAAAAACAGAACATTTTATTTTATTTTTACTTACTTAAAATTTAGGATCCATATGTAAATCACTCTTTCCTTGAGTTGACCACCCAACTAGGTCATAATCAAGGTCCCAAGGGTGGCAAGTCCGAGCTACTCGGGCGAGTCGGGGTTGGCTCGCCCGAATATTCAAGCACTGCTCAAAAGGAACCAAGAAGCACTCTTATCAGGGTTTCCTCTCTCTCTCTCTCTCTCTCTCTCTATACTAGTACGTACGTACGTACGTACGTACTCGTACGTACGTACCTTACTTACCGTTCTTACCTTTACCGTTCCGTTACCGTTACCTTACC